GAGAGCCCGCGGGCTCTGCACAAATGGGCAGCAGCCTGTGATTACCAGGCTGCTCCCTACAAGAAACAATCCCGACTGCCCGGATCTTGCTGATGAAAAGACATATTTAAAAATGAAGTGTTTTCTAGCAAGGGAAACAGGGCTTGAACAATAATACTCCCACTGGATATTTTCCAAGGCAGCTGAATATTCCCAGTAAGCCCTACAAGAGTTAACGGAAGAACATTGCCCCTGTTATTCTAGGAACTAAAAATGCTGGAGCATATTTACGAGTGGCCAGAATTCATTTTCCCCTCAGTGAAGGGAAACGTCAACAAACATCAGGAACACTTGTGGTTCCACTTGGCAGTATTTATCAGATATTGGGCTTAAATCCTCTAGAATGAAACTTTCAAAGTTAAGTTAATCTACAAAGTCTGTAAGCTACAAAGAGAAAGCCTGCTCCTAAACAAAACAGCAGCAGAAGCTGACACCGAGCTCTGCAGGCACGGTACGAGGTCTCCGGGGCAGGTGTTGCTACAAGAGACCAGGAAGCGCAAGACTGAAAACTGAGAGATCACGGGGACAGTTTTTCTAGGGAATTAAGGCACTCCAAGGTACAGACAGGTACATAATAGGATTTTCCCAAAGTGCCTAAATGAACCATAGACCTGATTATCCTCTCAGTGGGAATCACAGGTAGATGTTCAACCCAACAGAAAACTTCCTTCTCATCATTCCACTTGGCAAAACGTTCGGGCACCTCACTATCTTCCAAAATCCTATATCTTGCATACAGCTAGATACGTAAAAGTAAATATGCCAATGCCTTGATTTGCACACTGCTGAGATAGCATCAGTTGCTGGTACTGAGCAGGTAAGAAACTGAAAGCCGCCTGCCTGAAGCCTGATCTGAGCTAACTGGCTTTGTAAACTCTGGCATCAAGTAGTAAAAGCAGTCTCGAGACTGTAAAACAGGGTTGTAGCCACTGCAGTAGGGACCACTTCTGTCGGGCCCATTCGTACCTCTAGGAGAGCGATTCAGATGCTTGGGGAACATGAGACACGTTGTGGGGGTAGCGGGTGTGACACAGGGTCCCTTGGGAGCTTTCTGCCCTGCCAGGGCAGCGGCTGGAGGCTACGTGGTGAAAACTGGAAGTCAAAGGGCACTAAAGAACTACATTTAAGTAACAGAAGCTTACCCACTGTTTTTTAAACCTCAGTGAGCATATTATACATACAGGTACTCAAACAGAGGGTTATTGGCACAATGGTAATTTTCTGTCCTTCCAAAGGCATTTATTTACCTTCTTGACTTTTAAATAAGCTCTCCTTAGGAAGAAAAAAAATACCAATAAATGGTTCACACTACACTTGACATTAACATCTTTTTGACAGTCTCCACAGTAAGCCTAACTACTAACACGAGTGTTAAAACAAAACAACTGATCCATACACACAGAATAGGCCTGTTGGTGAACAAGGCCCAAATATATTCAATGGCACATCACAGCTGCTAATTATTGTTGTAACATATAACTGTTTAAAGAATAAAAATTATATGCTATCTTTCTTCTGCACATTCTTGGAACTAGTTGTAATGATGTAAACTACTTAGATTTATTGTTTCGCTTTGACGTTGAATATGCAATTTGTTCTTCATGCCAAGAAAAAGAAATAAATCACTACAGGAACAATGATTTCTACAACAATATGATTTATAGTTTCAGATCTGTCACTTCATACAGAAGTTCTGCAATTATTTTCCTTCATAATGAATGAGTTTCCTTCAGCAAGACAAAAGGCTAAAAAAAAAAAAATCAGTCACATCAGGTTTGTTTCAAAAAATTGTTTCTTCATCTTCATCTTTCCTTCCTCTCTATCTGTACTGGATCTCCTAATCGTGCTTTTCCCACACATTTCAAGAAGCATTGCTAATTTGTAAGTGGGAATGCAGAACAAATCAGGAACGGCTGGACAAAGCTGAGACTATGTGTATATAGCAGCAGACAACTCTGGGTAGTAAGGTAGGTACGGGTAATAGTTTCCCCAACCATTGCACAGCTATCTGTACTTCTAGTAGCGCTAGCATTACTCGACAAATGAGACAGACGTTCTTCCTTCTTTTTGGCCCTCCACTGTGTTTTCCAAGATTGAATTTAATGGTTACCTGCAATTTACATCACACAGGCAACTACGGGGCTCTGTTTTGGGGTGATGTTATCAACCTAAGTAACTGGCTGTGTGTCTCTCACTCTGCTATCAATATCCACAGCTTTCTTGGGGCCAGCTTACCAAGCAAGCTATTTCTTAAAAAGCCTCATTTAGAAGTAGACATAAAGATAGTTTGTGAAGTATGGGGATAAATCTCTTTCCC